ATAAACCCCATTACAGTGTAAAAATTTCACAGAAAAAAAGTACAATATAAAAATGTAAAATATAAACTAATACGCTACGGAATGTTTCTGCAGCACACAACTATATAACATTATAAAATACTATAGGATATAGAATTAAAATTAAACTTGTTACTACCTTATGTAAACAATTACCAACTTAAATTATTCAATGATTGTTTAAAACGAACATGAGAGACACCAAAAATACTGATGTTTTTGTCATCTACTAACTTCAAGGTTCTTTCCAAAGGTGTATGTTTGCCATAATTTGTATGATGGAAGGGTATATGAAATAAATGGCTGTGTCTAAGATTCCTGTTTGGAACATGAATGTTGACAGATTCAAGTAATTCAGGACAAGTTATTAGTCCATTGAGCAGATTGAATGCATAGCATTGATCTGCATGGATTCTTTTGGTTTGCAATAGTAATATAGCATTTCTAGTAATATACTCAAATAGTCATGGTACTGTATTTGAACAAAATCTCAGAAATTTATTTTGCACTCTTTCTAGAGACACACAGCGCACATTGTAAAATGGAGACCAAATGTTATATGCATATTATAACTTAGACACCACTAGAGCTAAATAAATCCTTTTTAATGCTTCAATGGAAAATCCTGAACAATGACATAAAATAAGACTCAGTGTTTTGGATCATTTCACACTCACTTGGTTTATATGGTTTACAAATTTGAGTTGTTTGTCAAAAATGACCCCCAAAGGAAGTGTATTCTAAGTGCTGATCATTTATGTTTATGATGTATCGAATTTCCTACCAACTCTTGAGGAAGTTATAAAATGGCATTTATTTACATTAAGAAATAAGTTATTTATAACACACCATTCATAAACTTCATTTAGATCATCTTGAAGGAGAATTTGGTCATTGTATGATTTTATCGGTCTAAAAAGCTTCAGGTCATCTGCAAACATTACAAATTCACTGTTCTCTAAACAGCATCGTATGTCATTCACAAAAATATTGAATAACAGGGGTGAACAATGTGATCCTTGTGGCGCTCCAGATATTACTAATATATCACTCGATTTGCATCCTCCAATTTCAACCTGTTGTGAACGACCAGCCAAAAAACTACCAAACCAATTTACCAAATATTCTGTTAAACCAAAATCTGCCATCTTCTTCAATAGAATATTGTGATTTATTCTGTCAAAAGCCTGTGAAAAGTCAGTGTTTTCAGAATATTAAAAAACTGTGTGGTTATACTTTGTTCATTGTACATACTGAAACTCTGTAAATTTGATAATTTGTTTCATGTCAAAAATAAGTGTTCTCTTCCGAACATTGACATTCTAGTTTGATATGAACAAATGGCAATTGGTATTTTGTACTATAAAAAAGCTGACTCAGATTTTAATCCTCTATTCAACTTGGACTGTTGAAAAGTAAGGTGAATGTTCAAATTTCGTGGGCTGAAGACATTCGATGAGCGATTTTTTTTATGTTGGTACAGTAGTGTCAAACATATTTCCATAGTTTCAACTGTTTGGCATGTTTAGTTTCTTTGTGAGAGGCTTAAGAGTTTTGTGTATTCGGCTATTTTACGCTATCGAGAAAAATATATGAGAGAATGTGTATCAAATTTTGTGTGAAAAATGATCAAAAATACTTGAAATGTTGACAGGGACTTACGGTGATTGTATTCTGAGTCAAAAAAATGTTTATGAGAAGATTTCTTGCACCAAACAGCACCAATTTGCACAAACATTTAGAATTAGATGCGCTCATGGATCCATCCAGTAAGAATAACAAATGAAATATCACAAGAATGAATTTTGAAATACGAGATGTCATTGAAGAAAATATCATCAGATACACAAAAAATTTTTTGGCTGAGACACATAGAATGTAGAAAAACTGACACCATAATCAAAAAAGTTACCAAACGGAGTCAAAAATAGAAAGATCGGGGGAGTGACGTGAGGAAAGAGGAAAAAAACAGATATAAGAAATATATAAATCCTGTATACCCATGATACATCATAAGCATACATTTGGAAAAGAATACTTCAGAAATTTACGCACATTATGGGCAAAGATGTAGCTGAAAAATGTCTCACCTGCTGCTCCAATTTTGAGATAGAAATTTGTAGAGTGGCGATCTTTATTGAAACAGTAATTGTGTTTGATAGCTTTTCCTTCCTTTATGATTTCTGGTAGAACTATGTTGAACTGGAAATGTCCATCTGTAGTTTTTGACATTTCCACTTGCTCAGGCATATTTTTTTCAATGAGATCCTCGTATTTGCGCTTTCTGTTCATGAATATAGAAATATCCACAGTCAGAAATATAATATATATGGCAGCCACTATGACCAGACAGAGACTGAATATCTGAAAAAATGTGTTTGTTGATGAATGATTCACAAAGTAATATGTATAATACTCTCAAAATATAGAGCTAAAGCTCTATATCATTCTCATTTATTTTTTATCAACCTAAAATTGATGATGTTCCATAATCAAAAATCGAATTAATCTCAGAGTATAATTCCTCTGACTAAGACTATGACTCTGACTATGACTGAATCATTACTATTCATTAAACTGGTTTCTTGTAACGATCATGCATTACTTATGACACTGTCAGCCCGTCCGAGCTGCTAAGTGAGATATTCGACACATTTTTTAAAAATAGGAATGGAATCGAAATTACAACAATAATTCAATAATTTTTTTCCCTATGGCACTGAAAATAATAATGACTCAGATCGAAAGTACCTGAATAATTTGATTTCATTAAAGACAACATTCGTTATGAGTATCAGTCGATCAGATTTTATGTAGCATGAGTTTCGTATCTTACCTCCGCTATACGTGATGTGCCCACTATATCAGCGACAAAAACTGCTAATCCTACTGTTATGTTGAATAAAGCATAGAATAGACTGAGTGTTTTCGTTAACAAATCCCTGGAAAACATATATGAATCATCAATGAAGAGTAGGAACTTCATGAAATTATCGTATTATGACTATTCTCTGAAAATCTGACTCTTCATCATAAAATATTCCACCTTGAACAACCAATATCTTAGTTAGGTGGTTGACAATGTTTCGTGGTGTATTTCATCAACTGATGAAATGAATCAATATCTTACTTAGTATATCAACACTTGAAAAAATATGAGGGTTGAATTGATACTTATTTAAAAATTGATACGTAAGTGAAATAAATATCAAATAAATGTTATTGTTGATGAGAAATAAAAATTATCAATAATTATGTCTCCATCAATAATGAATAAACAACAAGATTTTGATAGTTCATACGAGTTTATGGCTGAGTATCCTAAATTCCGAGGTAAATTTACTGAGTTGACTTAACTCAGTTTATATAGTCTGACAATTTTCAATTGATGGTAACTCATATACAAATTGAACTGAGAGCTAACGGCAACAATGTTAAATGTTAGAACTAAATTCTTCGCGGGGTCATTTTTATTGTCTATGCATCTCCATTGCAAATAATTGAAAAGTAAGATGATTCCATAAAATTTGACCCCCGTAACAAGATAGCTTCTGCATATCAATGGGATGTACGAACGAATAGGTGAACCAGTTCGTTGAATACTTTGAAACATCGGTGAACTGATCAACACTTTGCAGGTATATTATATTTGCGTCCCTAAAATGCCATAACTAGTCATTTGATTTCTTCATTATCAAGCGTCCTTATGTGCATAGGGAATACCCGTGTCGACAATTTAACGCATTGTACGTGAAAAAAGGTGATTTAGATTGTACAAGCTCCAAAAGTACATTATCGTGGTAGAAAAAAAAATTGAATTGGATGACTACCAGAAAAATTTTGTACGCTATACCATCCATTCTTTCCTTTTTGAGAATAAAGCGCCAACCCTCGAATCCATTAGGAAAAACGTAATGGATAATGATCTCGTTCCAAAAATGAGCAAAGAGAAGTTACGGAAAATGATAAAAAAAGATTTGAAATTTATATATGCCAAACGACCCCGTAAATCTGTCTTAATAGAAAGAGAAGAGATAGACTCACGGCGACGGAGATATCTTTGCTCTATTAGAGAAATGCGTTCTGCTCACAAAAATATTTATTATCTGGACGAAACGTGGGTGAATGCTGATCACACAGTATCTAAGATCTGGCAAGATACTACTGTAACTAGTTATCGTCAAGCATTTGTGGACGGTTTATCAGGGTTACGCGGACAGGGTTACGCGGACCTACGGGTAAAGGGCAACGACTAATTGTCGCCCATATAGGTAACGAGAGTGGCTTTTTAGACGATAGTGCACTAATTTTTTTCACCAAAAAACGGGGGATCATCACGAAGACATGGACACCCAACGCTTTGAAGGATGGTTTGAATCCCTTCTTTCACGAGTCGAGCCAAATTCGGTAATAGTAATTGATAACGCTTCTTATCACAGCCGATTAGTAGAACAGCTGCCAACTATGACCACCAGAAAAGCAGACATGCAGAGTTGGTTAGGCCAGAAAGGAATTCCATTTTGCGACGACATGGTTGAGGCCGAGCTAATGAGCGTCATTAAACAGCATCGCCAGCATGTGGTGGATACAATAGCTCGTGCTGAAGGCATCACCATTTCAAGACTTTCTCCTTACCATTGCGAGATAAACCCGATAGAATTAATCTGGGCTCAAATTAAGGGTTACGTAGCTCGTGAAATCGTGACGTATAAAATTTCTGATGTCCGACGTTTATTAGAACTCGCGATGGAACGGATACGGAAAGAAGACTGGGCTAATGCTGTAGCCCATGTGAAAAAGGAAGAAGAGGAAATGTGGAGATTGGACCAAATAATAATAGATTTTAGTGTGACTGGGGATTCCTCTTCGGACGAGTCAATGGAGTCTGAAACTTCATAAGCATAACATAGGTAATTATTTCCTTGCTTTGTAATTCTCTTTCTATATAAAAGAACATAATAATTATTTTGTAAATTTTTCTGTTTTTTTGAAGTACTGTATTAGGCATAATAAGAAAATATAATCAGTTTCACCATTGACACCAGGTAGCGCCACCTACTATAACAATTTTTACATAATTACCTATGTGTTTAAATAAATAAAAATATTATTTTGGTACGCCTCTGCAGAGTTGGTAAGAGGATTATCCGTTGGTCACTACAAGTGCGACGTTGCTAATGAATCACCTTCAATTGAAAATTGTTATATTATAGTGAAACTTTGAGCTTTGTGGAAATAATTAGTCTGGCCGTTTAATAATATTTATTCAACCTGAATGAGAAATTATTGTAGTGAATATATTCTACAAAATTCCAAATTCTTCGCTTGCATAAGATTCCAGCTCCCCCCTATATATGAATTGAATAATGTATCTACTGCCATTATCCAAGAAATAGACAAAGAACGTCCTCAACCACAATGTATTATACTTCAAATAGCAGGGTAAAGATGCAAAACATTAAAGATGATTACAACCATTACCCATCATTTCCATTTTCTTGAAGAGATATTGCTTTCAATCCCTCCCTGCTTTCATATCATGGTTTCATTGAATAGAGAATTTATAGGGCTTTCATTGATAATAATTATAATTTCTCAAAACTAATCCGATATAGTTTAGGAAGAGAATGGATCGGAGATTTCGGACATTCTTCCGTTTGAAATTAGTGACAGAATACTGGATTGAAATCAGCTGCTGCCTGAATACATCGGTTGAAGTTTCATATACGAGTAGTATCTCCAATTCTTTCATCCCATAACTAATTGAAATCTTCATTCGATGGCCCTGGTGAAATACCCCAGTGAAACCTCTCAAAATGTCATTCGTTTTTTTGATAGAGGAGAACTTGGACTTAGTTTACAGAAGAATCGGTAATTTTTGCAGTTTCACTTGGAACAATCGATACAAGGAGATAGTGTTATTTGACCGTATCAAACCACTTCACTACTTGCCATTCTACAATATATCAGCTTCACAGAGAATTCAGACGGATTACTCCAGGCTCCCCGTGGATTGGGCTACCTATCAGGCGCGTCCCCAGGTGGTGGATAGGGGAACGGCCAGGGGACTGGGGGCCCTGGTCGGGAAGCCAATGTGGCCTTACGGACGGGGTCGCCGGACTCCTGGTCAGTGGCAGAAATAAGTAGGGTGAGGGTAACTAAAACCTCTCAAAAGCCTTTGCAAAATATGACACTGTGGACCAGCCTACCCAAGCTAAGGTGTAAGGAATCGTGCCGACAGCTGAATGGCCACAGGGTGATATGCGGTTACGAACCATCGCCATGGGGAACTGGGCGAAAGCCCATTGTAATCAGCCTACCTCTGGTAATGCGGGGTTCTGCCAGAGGTGACCAACTCTTCCCTTGCTACTCGTGGGAACACACATGAATGAAACAACAGAAACAACAAAAAACAATCCATATGCTGAACAGAAATGCTGACCTCAATCTAAGGTGGTGGCTGGGGATGAACAAAAATGTCCACTCCAATCTATCGCTTGGAATGAGGCTGGACATAGCAGATCACCTCCAACATCAAGGGCACTTCCTGCTGGGGCGACAAGAGCTCCGCCTTGAATAAAGGCAAGGAACCGTCTGCCCCTGCAGGAAAGCTCCCTCACTTGTGCACCTCCACGATGTGCTGTGAGTCTACACTCACCCTCCCACAGATACTCCAGGCTCATTTAAAAAAACGACGATTCGGTGGAAGGGAGATGCTTTAACTTCTTCCACATAGAGAATGGAGTCCCAGAAGGCCCAAATGAATTCAGACATCTGCTCCATCGTTACCGTATCTTCCAAGTTCGAAATATACACTTTGTAATTATATTATGGAGTTTTCAGTTGATTTTCATAGTTTAATCCGGTCAATCTAGACATTGGAATGTACATAAATTTACAACATGCTGCAAACGCGTATAATTGTTCAAAACATAGTTAAAAATGAGATTTTGAAATTTCGAATGATTGCGATGCCTGGAAAAAATTTATTCGACGTCAAAAGTCAAAAATCTCGAAAAAGAATTGGTTTTATCATAACATAAGATCGCATAAAAATTGTATATAATAAACTTCTCTACAAAAAATGTATCAATACTTTTTTTCTTAGAGCTACCGTTTCTGAGATACGACGAGTCAAAAAGTTGTAAAAGTTGTACTCCATCTGAATGGAGACTGTTTATAGACTCTTCAAAACTAAGCTTAAAAGCTGTACTTCTACATAATGGAAATCAGCTACCCTCTATTCCTATAGGTCATGCAGTTCACATGAAGGAAACGTATATAAATATGAAAACACTTCTCCAATCAATCAAATATGAACAACACAAGTGGCACATCTGTGGTGATCTGAAAGTCATTGCTATACTCCTAGGAATGCAATTAGGGTTCACCAAGTACTGTTGTTTTTTGTGTCTGTGGGACAGTCGGGATAGAAAATCTCACTATAAAAAAATGAACTGGCCTACACGAGACCTAAACCCTAATGAGAAAAATGTAGTTTACGAGCCTCTTGTAGATCCTAAGGATGTTCTCCTTCCCCCATTACATATTAAGTTGGGACTAATGAAAAACTTTGTGAAGGCCATGGACCAGGAAGGACAAGCTTTTAAGTACTTGAGAGCAAAGTTTCCCAGGTTGAGTGATGCTAAAGTCAAGGAAGGCATCTTTATTGGGCCTCAAATCCGTGAAATCGTAAATGATCCTGCTTTTGACATGATTTTAACAGGAAATGAAAAAAGAGCCTGGGAAGCCTTTAAGGGGGTTGTACATGGGTTTTTAGGTAACAAAAGAGATGATAACTTCACAGCATTGGTTAAAGAGCTTCTTCAAGCTTACCACCAACTTGGATGCAACATGTCCTTAAAAATTCATTTTAAGCTGTGAGTGACGAACATGGAGAAAGATTCCATCAAGACATTGCCTTAATGGAACAGAGATATCAGGGCCGTTGGAATGAAGCAATGCTTGCAGACTACTGCTGGTCTGTGTGTAGGGATGCTCCAGAAGTGTTTTATAAAAGACAAGCTAAACGACAGCGATCTTACAATGAATCGGATGGACTTAATTGAAATAAGTCATAATAATTATTATGACTTCCCAACTCGATCCTCGAAACTTATGAGGCCTCCTAAACATGGAACTAGTCTATATGAGAGAAGTCCAATATACAGAGGAATTCAATTTTTAAATCATTTGCCTGCCTGTATAAGATTGGAAAACTTTGTTAATGTTTTCAAAAGAAAACTCAAAAACTTTCTATGTAGTGAATGTTACTATGACATATCAGAATTCATGAGCAAAAATATAACGTGAGTTATGACACTCGGATGCCCTGTTATTATTATAACCTTCAAAACTTCCATTATTGTCATCTCATCTGATTTAATGTATATATTATGTCTGTGACTGTTCCAATATCATGTAAATATGATCTGACTGGAATAAAAATTATCATTATTATTGAGTATTTCTGTTTTTCTCCATCAGTTTGTAGAAAAGCATGTCTATTACTCACGTGAATGCCCGTCTTTTCTCGTCGCTAGGCGTTGGGTCATCAGGAACGCAGATAGAGGATTCTGGTGAACCGACAAAAGAAAATCCTCCCGGAGTTTTAGCAGACCCGTATTCATAGTCTCCCGTTGAGGAAGTGTGATTGATGGGCGTTGCATAGTCCTGCTTACTACAGATGCTAGAAGGTTGTTGTTGGGATCGAACACTCGAATGAGAGTTTCCTAAATATATTTGAATTATCATTCAACTGTATCTTGTATTTGTCAATCCAGGGATAAAAAATATTACATGAAAATTCGGATGAAGTCCTCAATGCTTTTAATCATTTTCATTGACCCCAAAAAATATTAATGTTCATAAAGGAGACCTCTGTCAGAGTAATAAAACTAATTATTATTGAGAAAAGAACTATACAGGCTGTGAAAACTTCATGAGATGAAAATTCGGAAAGATACTTTTAAGTGAACAGTTTCAAGGACGATTTTCAGTTTTTGCGGTAATTTCTTCTTTTTTGATCAGCAGCTTATAGAGCTGCAAGAAGATTATGTTGAAACATTTTTGTTTCTGAATTTCTGTGTTTTCTTTGTTGGGTCGGATACTTATGGGCCACCTAACACATCAATGGAGAATCCTCAGAAGGGAACAAGGTATTTTTGGGAAAGAAAGTTTTTGGGTTTCTACTACTCCATCTTGATATGAACAAAAAAAAAATTAAATCACCTAACAAATGATAAACAGGAAGTTGATACTGTTCTTTAATTAATTCATTTTCATAAAAATTCACTAGAATTGATCGTAATAACTAATTATAACAGGATTTGACGGTATATAACTTCTTCCTTCGCCACATATAGGCCAGATATAGTCATCATCAAGATTCCTGTTAATACCTAGAGTTCCTCGTCTAGGTCTGTCCAGCAAGGATTTATCTTCTTCTTTTTTAAAACAACAATATGGTGAGCAAAAAAATTCAAAAACAAGCAATAAATTAAATAATTGTATGATCTGAATAACACGTTTCAACAAGCTTTATCGCCTCCTCTTTTCTGTAGTAGTTTTCCGTATGTTTATGGATTTCTATGGCTTTCCATACAAATCGACTGTGGTATCCATGATCGGGTATGATCTCCTTCACTAAAAGCGTGTTTTGTTACTGCCGATTTTTCTATTTGACCTAAGACTAAACCAATTAAGCAGGACCATGCTGATGGATCTGTTACTAGTTAACAATATTTGTTTTACACGAATGTTTTCATACATCACGTTAAAATTGATCGGGTCCCAAGTCTTTTGCAGTTTGGGTCGGATATTCCCTGCACTGAGGAGAGGTAATACCTCGAAACCGATTTTTTTTGGTTGGCATTCAAAACCTACGGTTTAGGCGAATAGGGGAAATGAATATTCCGGATTTCATTTCAAAATATTCATTTCATTTTCAACTCAAAATCAATGATTAGTAATTATGGGTTTTGATTTTATATAAAATGCATTGTTGAATACTTTTGTTTTTCAATGTTGCCTTCATAATGAAACATTTCAAGAATATAAATGGGAATTAAAACTTCCTGTTTTTATACCACTTGTATTTGTAACTAATATAAATTGTTTTGACAACTTCATTTTGGGGAATTGGTATATCAAATCTATACAAATTAAACCAGCATTTTTATTTGATATTTTGTGTACATATGCAATGAAACTCAGCATTCCTCATTTACTAATAAGGAAATATTTGTTTGTTACCCTGAAGATAATGAAAGTTTTTCAAAATACTGTTTGGAGGTTGATATTTTGAGATGAAACTAGTGTAAAATCAAAAGTTTACTCACATTTGAATACTTGAAAATGAAAAACAACAAAATGAACGAATACAATGGATATACGAAATCCAAAATCAGTGTGGACAAGGATGCGCATTANGGTTGACTGGATGTCAAGCCACTTAAGATACAGGATATAGCGTTAAAAAAACAGGGCTGCCACTTCCGCCCCAGGATCCCCATTGTGTATCTACTGGAATCTTTCAAAAAAAGGAAGGAAGCGATGAATTTCAAAAAATTCATTCTGTACAAAGTTATGCAGATCATCCAAAGAAGTAACTTTCAGACTCAAACTGGAAGAATAGCCCTCTCGAAATAACTACTTTCATATAAACAATGAATCACACGAAAGAAAAAAATTCTTTCGAAACAAATACTTTTATATGAACACATTATGTATGGTCATTTTCATAGAAGTCTTCCACTTAATGAATAGTCTGATCAATTAAAAACTCTTTGAGGTTCATTTTGATATCGGAGAAATTTTTTAGAGTAGTAGGTAGACAATTGAAAAGTCTTGCTCCGACCAAAATGGAGACTTTTTATGGGTTGAAACCATATGTTGTTCAATTTCAATCAAATTTACTGATCTTGTGGGATATCGATGGTACTGACAATTGGACTCGTAGTCATTCATATTTTCCTACGTATAGACCAAACAACCATAGATATGAGTTGCTGGGAAAGTCGAAATTTCATTTTGTTTAAATGAATACCAACATGATTCGGTTCTATCTAGATTTGAAATCGGGCGGAGAATTTTTTTCTGAGCTATTAAACCACGATCCGCCCCTGTACAATCTCCCCACAAGATGACATTGTGTAGAGTGTAGATTGAATCATAGAATAATATACTTTGATCAAAGACTTGACATCAAAAATCTGACGTAGTTTCAATAGTGCATAAAAGTTTTCTAACCGCATGGTTCAAACGAAATTTCCAAGATAAATTAGTGTCAATGTTGATACCCAAAAATTTGGTTGTTTCACTTGGGAGAATTGTATAATCATGGACTAAAACCTGTATATGATTAACAAATATTTTTTTGCCAAAGAACTCAACATTATTGATTTTCCTGCATTAACAACAAACTTATTATCATGACACCATGTCGTAAAATTATTGCTGATGAAATTCAGCCTCTCTTCGAGCTCCATAGGACTATCTGATACTGCATAAATCGATATGTCATCAGCATAAAGTACAATCGAAGATGTTCCAATATACTCCGGTAAGTCATTAATGTATAGCAGGAATATTAATGGCCCCAAAATGAATCCCTGTGGCTTGAAAATTCCCATGCAGTTCTTGGCCATCTGTATGAAATATTCCCAGTATCGAAAATTTATTTGAACGAAATTCAAATAAAGGTGAATGATTTCAATGTAGATTGACTGATAATCTGTTCTGAGATGTCTGTCAAAACGGTGATAACGCCAAGAATAGATATATTGGGGAATAAAATAGCACATCAGCAACAACTCACCCCTTATCCAGATAAACGGCTACGAAGAACAATATGCAGCAAACAATGGTTACGACCAGAACAGCGAATCCGCCAAAGAGGCCCTTGTTGGAAGATTGACAATCGACGTGAACCACAACGTTGCCCTCCGTGTTTTCCGAGTTGCCTGCGGGAGTCCTGCATTGTGATGTCGAAGCCTCGTTCTCGTTCTCCACGTTGCACATTCCTATATTCTGCCAGACCAGGTACAAGACACCGACTGAAATGAAATTGTCATGTCGTTACATCAATCGATAACAAACTACAAAACGACTTTACTCTAACCTCGATAACTCAGCTGTTTCTGGTCCGATCGACTTAAAGCAAAGGTTAGTACTCTAGAAAGACGTGGTTACTGGTTTACTAAGAGCGCCATCTCTGGGTTAGTCTCGGGACTTATTGATCCATGTAGTATATACTACAACAAAAAGTGACTGAAAAATAATGAAACACTAGATCTTTATACCCACTGGAATGGCATAGTTACCATAAAAAAAATTACACGACATCGGAGGCAGGTCTAGATCTTCATTGAGATATGCAACCTCCTGCTGCCAGTGAATATGTGCATCTGCAGGAAAAGTCCTGGAATCCAATATGTCATAACAAATATGTCAGGAGCTTCGTACAGTACTGGAATCTAGATCCTTGTCTTTCAGAACATAAATTCATCTGCTTTGAAAAAACTACAAATGATCTCCAGGAAATATTTCCTGGAAGTAGTTTGGGAGAATATAGTTTCAGATAATCCAGAGGTGCACTTGTTAACTGAATATACCATCGACATATTCTAGAACTCTATCAAAAAGTATTCCCCAATAGAAAAATATCCCCGAAATGAAAATGTTTTGAAGTTATGAAGTTATAATGGTACAATTACTCACTGAAATTTATGAAAAGCAAACTTCAAGCTGCCGAAATCAACAACAAGTTTGAATACACTATCACGGCGTTTCTCGTCATCAATCTGATAATTTAAAGTTCGGGGTGAACCACGTCTTGTGTTTTTAGTAGCTCGACGTTTCAGTTTCGACTTTGAAGCCATTTTTGAGAAGCTATCACTTCACTGAGGTCTCAATCTGCCTACACCTCAGGCAGTGACACGCTGCAAGGGTTTTGTGACTTGTCGTCGGGGTCTTGATCTGGCTACTTCCCAGGTCTCGCCGCTGGTTCCTGCAAGGGTCCCAATCTGCATACTTCTAGTCGACGCTTGGGTGTAGGCAGATGGAGACTCTTGCACGAAGGAGGAAAATATATCATACACATATCAAAATATGCCCAGAAGAATATGGGATCTGTACTGGGAACAAGACTGTTGGGAACAGGAGTCATGAAAAGGCGGTGGAAAAACCGCAATGAAGGCTGCCAGAGGCTCGAAAGAAATCAATGTCAGACACAGCTCTTCAGTCACGAGTACATGTCATGATATTGCAATGCAATTGCATATTATGGATTTCCACTATTCAAAACTTTTTTCAATCCATATTTGAATCTATTTTGAAGTGCATTGGTGCTTCTTCATCTGAGAGTGAGTTGTATATAAATATCCTGAAAGTTCTGAAAGGGTCAAATATTACCATTAACATAAACATTCCAGAAGAACGATGGATTTTTATTTTTGATTCGTCATTCGAACAAGTATTTTCAATTTTCTACCTCTTCATTTTCGAAAGGTGGCAATACGAAGTTTAAAAAAATTCGATCCCAAGATTACCTCTTTTTGACGATTCGATTATTATTCTTGATCGGAAGGAGGATTCAGTAAGTAACAAAAGTCAAATAATTTTCAAATAATTTCCAATAACACTTTCAAAAATGATCAAATCAAAATGAACATTGAAAAACGACAAACCCCTTATTTAACTAAAAAGTGGTGGTTGGAACTATCTTTTCTTGAAAAAAATATATCTATAATTATTGAAACGACTCTGAAGCAACTGTCATTTCCAAACCAATACAGAAGTTTTCAACGAGAGCCAAGATAGAAAATCTGAAAATTCTACAGAACTTCGGAACAAAAGTTGCGAAAATAGTTCAAAAAAATTATTTTGTACTTTTTCAAGACGGCTCAGAAACCAAAGAAGGTTCAGGATGTGGAGTTTACTCCAGATCACTAAGCCTAAGGATCAAGTGGGGAATGGAAAAAAATACCAGCGTAGTTCAAACAGAACTGGCTGGTATCTCCACAAAAAAGATAACCAGGAAAGGAATTACCGGCAAAAACAAAACAATCTGCACTGATAGTAGATAAGCCCCATTAGCCTTGAACAGACAACGTGTTACCTCAGGGCTAGTACTAGAGTGCCACCAAGGTTGATGACTTCGGCAATTGCGGAACTAGCCAAATATTACACCCATGCTCAATCCCTAAAGATATTGGATGAAATGAAAGAATGCAATTTCGCCAGGATCACCCTGGGCGACACTTGGAAGATGTGGCCGAAGAAATATCTGGCGATGACCAGGAAAAATCTTCGCCTAACCGTAGGATTTCTAACTGGCCACTGTCAACTAAGGAAACATCTCCATATTATAGGACTAGTGGACACACCTCTATGCAGGATGTGTGAATGGGAAGATGAAACTATCAGGCATGTCTCAAGCGATTGTCCTGAGTTATCGTCAGTAAGAGGGTGTGGGTTTGGCGAGTCTAGGCCTACACCCGCCGATATGAAGGAGATGTCTCTTAGTGACCTGTCCACCTTCCTGGAAAGGACAGGATGGACGATGACCTAGGAGGACGACTCCTCGTGAGGATGTACAATGGGTCACCCTGCGGTCCTTTAGCTGTGAGCACGATTCCTTACTCCTTAGCTTGGGTAGGCTGGTCCATGTGGCATGTTTCGCAATGGCTTTTGGGGAGTTTTAGTTCTGCTCGCTCTACTTATTTCTGCCACTGACCAAGGAGTCCGGCGATTCCATCCGTAAGGCCATATATTGGCTTCCCGGACAGGACCCACAGTTCTGGCCATTCCCCTATCCGCCACCTGGGTACGCGCTCGATAGGTAGCCCAACTATCCTCATATTTCGGAATATTCCGGTATGTCCCGAAATGTTTTTTTTCACTGCTCTTAAATTTCCTACAAATTTCCAAGCTCTCATATCATAGAATGGGTCACATGTGGCCTAAGTGCTGTGGACCTACACTCACCCTCCCTACTCTACAGACACACAGAAAACTCAATATTTTCAATTGATGACTCACCTACTAAAATGCTGTATTCTACACTGAATGGATAAAGATATGGTGAAATGTCTACATATATGGACTTCATGTTCTCATCTTGGTAGTCGCAGATCATTGTGAATCTTCTCAAAGAGATATTTGATGACTGGAAAAACATCGGAGATCCTGTAATATAAATAAGTGTTCATTCCATCAGTGGAAATGTATCAATATTGAAAGTTTTTGAGATACGAAAATAAAATGAGTCGAAGTCATTCCCTACTCAAAATTTTGATGAGATTCACGAAAAGTTTCATGGGCAGCTCGTACTTTTTCTCCAATAACACCTCTGTAGTATGAATCTGGTAGTATACTTTGTTCATCATCTATATATTTATTTCTATTCTTATGTTAGTATTTTTGCAATTTTATACGTCCATGAATGAGGATCCTTTCAATTCGCCCTACACGCCAAAGATTGTTTCACTTAAATTTTCGAGGTACTCACCTGTTCGGTTATTTCCTGGTTCCAGTGAAGCAGCTGTCATGAATGACTTTTCATCCTCATCTTTTTCTTCTGTTTCGTGCTTGTAATATTGTGATTTAGCTGCCAGAGCTTCCAGAACCTCTCGAAAAATGGTCCATACCCAGAAACAAATACTCGAAGATAAGCAATGCATCACACCGAATCTGGCCAAAATGATGTGTCTGTTGATTATAACCTGAAATTGGAGACTTGAATAACATTTCATGGAACTCATGTGTTCAAAATGCAGGAAGATGAGCTTCTTGTCTTTATTATTTCGAAACTAGTTCATTATTCCATTCCTATATTCACAAATAATTGAAAAATCTGTTCTTCCCACTATTTTTCACTTATGTAAATCAGTGAACAAAAAAAATCAAATCACCTAACAAATGATAAACGAGAAGTTGATACTGTTCTTTAATGAATTCATTTTCATAAAAATTCACTAGAATTGATCGTAATAACCAATTATAACAGGATTTGACGGTATACAACTTCTTTCTTTGCCACATTTATCAGGCCAGATATAGTCATCATCAAGATTCCTGTTAATACCTACAGTTCCTCGTCTAGGTCTGTCCAGCAAGGATGTTTGTGAATTTATCGACGCATCTTTCTCCATGTCGTGCGATTGTCGGGGTCACCAATGTTAAGACTCTAGTTGTTTTTCCTTTCAGGAATCGCCAATAAAACTGTATTTCAGTCTAACAAAATGTCAATGACTTTTCCAAAATAACTTCTGACAGACAGTCTTTTTTTTTATAACAGCAATATGGTGAGCAAAAAAATTCAATCATTTGTTGAAAACTCAATATACATATATATAATATAATGATACTATATCTTGAAAACAAGAGCTAATATATAATTTTTATGGTCACTTTCGGTTTTAACACGTGGAAATACATTAAACTCATCTAATTTCAACCCCGAAACAAAAACTTTGTTGTGTTGTGGAATCTTTTGGAATATTCTCTACGGCAGTCATAATGATATACGGAAGTGATTTCAGTTAAGGTCGATATTGAGGCTGTCTTTCTCTGAAGGCAATTTTCCCACCTCTTTGACCGCAGAAATCTTTCCTCATTTAAGCCCCTGTATGTCAGCTATATCTGACCATTGGACTCAGACACGTAGAGTTTTCTCAACACTGTTTCGTGTGAATCATCACGAGTGTGAGCGTTCGAGGATCTACTCAGCAGGAGTTTGTTTTCCGTCCTGGAACAAACTCTGTGTTGCTCAAGAATTGTATGCAAAGCATACTCACGAGATATCATGTTCTTGAGGAGCCGGTTGTTCCCAGCCTCCTAGGGTTATGAACAGGATCAAGAATTGGAGAACTGAGAAGGTATTCCTCGTGATACAATAGAGAAACGACTGGTTTAGTGTTTGCGCTTTATATTTCCTTCATGAATAATATAATAATGTACTAGTTATACTTTAATCATATATAAATTGCTAGATTGGTTTTGGTTGATCATAAGAAGTCATCGATGATTGTGACTATCTATTATTCCTGAGATCGTTACTCACAAGAAGCCATCGATGACTGTTTTTCGGATACCATTGTCCACGAATATTTCTGAAAAATACTAGAAATACAACATGGATGCACATTTTTGACGAAAATCTGCAGAAAATTTTGCCCTTGTTCAACAGTTATACCACTACTATTTTTGTTCAGACACCTGTCCTAGATTGATGAATATAATTGTTACCTTTGACGTGTAGGTTTGGTTAGGTCCAAAGTGAGTGGGTCTATTCGACCCTCCACCGCATACCGCAAGGGTTTATTGTGGCCCATCCAGGTGTTCAATGTTTGTTTGGGAAAGCCTAAAGCAATGCCAATGACAGGTTTTGGTCTGATAAAGCTGCTTGCAGCACCCTCCTTTGCAAGGGAGTCAGCAACCTCACTGCCTTCCAGGTAACAGACCAAAAATACTGTATGTACTGTATATCGGAGAAATATTTCAGAGTAGTAGGTAGACAATTGAAAAGTCTTGCTCCGGCCAAAATGGAGACTTTTCATAGGTTGAAGCCATATGTTGTTCAATTTTAATTAAATTTCCTGATCGATGGCACCAAGAATTGGACTCGTAATCATTCATATTTTTCCACGTATATAAAGTACCCGCAATGTCGTCTGCTGGGTTTGTGGTGGAAAAGTCGTTTTCTATCCCGTTGAGGTGATCTTCGGGAAGAACTAATTTGAGAATCATTTTTCCATTTTTGTTCTGAAAAAAAGACGAAATGAAATGAAATGAGCGGTTTTCAAAAAATTATATCTACACTACTCAATAGGTACTGGCTCAATCCGAGAAAACATATACTATACTAAATACAACAATATTATGAGTTCAACATAGTACAACTAGTAATAGTACATAGTAATGAAAAAAAAAATTAGCAGTTATAGAAACAAGATTCAGAAGCACACATTTCAGTATACCTTCCTACAAATAAAAACATGATTATACTATACATAAACATTGTTAATCTTCTCGATTGAGCAGTAATCTTTCAAAAAACATGTTATTTTTTCAGATATAAAAAACCTTCAAACCATTTATTATATCTGTGATAACAAGCTGATATCGATAAAAAACCAAATAAATGAGTATTTGTGAAGATGGCACCTTCAAAGCCAAAATCAGCGGATAAGTCCGCTGCCAAAAAAGAAAAGAAAAAGCCAGCATCGGCACCTGCTGCAGGCTCTGCCGCTGCCTCAGGTTCAAGTTCTGGATCAAAGGCTGCACCAGCACCGGAAGCTGCGGCAAAAACAGCTGCCAATTCAGCAGACAAAAAACCTGCAACTTCTAAAACTCCAGCACCTAAGCCTGCTGCTGCCAAAGCAGCATCATCAAGTAAAGCTCCAGCTGCTACCCCAAAACAAAAGCTACAGCTTCAAAGACCACTGCTAAAGCTCCGGCAGGTAAAGCCACTAAGGGTGCAGCCAAACCTGCAACGAAGAAACCAACTGCAGCAAAAACTGCAGCTGGTAAAGCTGGGGCTCCACCTAAGGTTCTGATTGCTAAACCTAAGGAAAATGTCCCTGTTAAACAGCAAAAGGGTTTGGTGGAAAATCAGCCGCATCTGCTCCTATTTCCAAAGCGTTGAAGGTGCAATAGAAGATCATCAAAGGTCCTAATGGTACCCACAGCCGCAAAATCCGCCCAACAACTTTGAGGCCCCCAAGGCAACCAAAATACCCAAGGAAGAGTGTTCCTACTCTAGGTCACGAATGGATGCCTATAATATCATTAAATTCCCTCTGACAACCGAAGCAGCCAGGAAAAAAATTAAGGATAACAACACCCTGGTTTTCTTGGTTCATACAAGAGCTAACAAATACCATATCAAAGCGGCCGTAAAAAATTGTATGACATCAATGTTGCAGAAGTAAACACTTTGATAAGGGCCGGATGGTAAAAAGAAGGCTTATGTTAGGTTAGCTAGGGACTATGATGCATTGGATGTAGCTAACAAAATTGGAATAATATAAATGTTTTGTATTTCTTTTCGTTATACTTGACATTGAAAAATTATATTAAAAAAAATGAGAATTGCATTACCTGATCTTCATTACGAAAATTTCACTTACCTTTTTGTTTCCCAAAACTTTCGATGAACCCAAACCCAAAGCAGAGTGGGTTCTTCTGAAATTAGGATTAGGCCCCGATAAAGCTACAACAGCGGATACGATTCTTTTTCTTTCTATGGCATGTTGAGGTCTTAAAATGACTTCACTTGTGGTAACGGAATTCTGGGAGAGAATATACAAAAAATAATGAGAATACTAGTTTTTTAAAGTATAAAATATCTCAAATCGAGAACTTCAAACATATTCAATAATATATGTTCAAAATTAGATTCAACTGCTACTTTGAATACATTTTGTTACATAGAAAAGGTGTTGATTTTTGACCCAGTATGATATTATTTCATTGTTTCAGATTGACTTTGTTGTTCGAGGTTTAACGACTCATTCATATCATTTAACTTGTAACTACAGAAGGGTCGAGCTGGAATTCATTGTTCAGGAAGAAATTTTTGATTAAAATCGAACGTAAGTCACAATTATCGCATGGATATCGCTTTCAAAGATCAGCTCCCCCCTATATATGAATTGAATAATGTATCTACTGCCATTATCCAAGAAATAGACAAAGAACGTCCTCAACCACAATGTATTATACTTCAAATAGCAGGGTAAAGATGCAAAACATTGAAGATGATTACAACCATTACCCATCATTTCCATTTTCTTGAAGAGATATTGCTTTCAATCCCTCCCTGCTTTCATATCATGGTTTCATTGAATAGAGAATTTATAGGGCTTTCATTGATAATAATTATAATTTCTCAAAACTAATCCGATATAGTTTAGGAAGAGAATGGATCGGAGATTTCGGACATTCTTCCGTTTGAAATTAGTGACAGAATACTGGATTGAAATCAGCTGCTGCCTGAATACATCGGTTGAAGTTTCATATACGAGTAGTATCTCCAATTCTTTCATCCCATAACTAATTGAAATCTTCATTCGATGGCCCTGGTGAAATACCCCAGTGAAACCTCTCAAAATGTCATTCGTTTTTTTGATAGAGGAGAACTTGGACTTAGTTTACAGAAGAATCAGTAATTTTTGCAGTTTCACTTGGAGCAATCGATACAAGGAGATAGTGTTATTTGACCGTATCAAACCACTTCACTACTTGCCATTCCACAATATATCAGCTTCACAGAGAATTCAGACGGATTACTCCAGGCTCCCCGTGGGTTGGGCTACCTATCAGGCGCGTCCCCAGGTGGTGGATAGGGGAACGGCCAGGGGCCTGGGGGCCCTGGTCGGGAAGCCAATGTGACCTTACGGACGGGGTCGCCGGACTCCTGGTCAGTGGCAGAAATAAGTAGGGTGAGGGGAACTAAAACTCTCCAAAAGCCTTTGCAAAATATGCCACCGTGGACCAGCCTACCCAAGCTAAGGTGTAAGGAATCGTGCCGACAGCTGAATGGACGCAGGGTGATATGCGGTCAAGAACGATCCCCTTGGGGAACTGGGCGAAACCTCATTGTAATCAGCCTACCTTTGGTAATGCGGGGCTCTGCCAGAGGTGACCAACTCTTCCCTTGCTACTCGTGGGAACACATATGAATGAAACAACAAAAACCAATCCAGAGGCTGAACAGAAATGCTCACCCCAATCTATCGCTTGGAATGAAGCTGGACATAGCAGATCACCTCCAACATCAAGGGCACTTCCTGCTGGGGCGGCAAGAGCTCCGCCTTGAATAAAGGCAAGGAACCGGCTGCCCCTGCAGGAAAGCTCCCTCACTTGTGCACCTCCACGCTGTACTGTGAGTCTACACCAACCCTCTCTAGTCTACAGATACTCCAGGCTCATTTGAAAAAACGACGTTTCGGTGGAAGGGAGATGCTTTAACTTCTTCCACATAGAGAATGGAATCTCAGAAGTCCCTATTTAAAGACCTGTGCTATTCATCATCTATACACATGAGTTCCTAGATACCTAGATTTATATCACATTTTAAAAAAACTGGCAAAGTCCCAAAAGAATTCAGATGTCTGATACATCGTTACCGTATCTTCTAAATTCGAAATATACACTTTGTAATCATATTATGGAGTTTTCACTTGATTTTCATAGTTCAATTCGGTAAATCTAGACATTGGAAGGTACATAAATTTACAACAAGCTGCAAACGCGTGTAATTGTTCAAAACATAGTTAAATATAAGATTTTGAAATTCCGGATGATTGCGATGCCTGGAAGAGAATTTATTCGAGGTCAAAGGTCAAAAATCTCAAAAAAAATGGGTTTTCGCGATTTTCAAGAAAACGGTGAGTTTTATCATAAAATAACCTCAGATAAAAGTTGTAGATCATGAAATTCTCTATAAAAAATGTATCGACACATTTTTTTCTTAGAGCCACCGTTTCTGAGATACGACGAGTCAAAAAGTTGTAATCGTCATTATATGCAGACGTTTCCACGCCACCTATGAGGTAATGTACTTAGGGCATTTTTTTTATCGTGGTTCCCCCAGTAGGCCTATTCCACATGTCTGTTGTGATTCTGTCAAATTGAAAACTTGCATAATAAAATATATATGAAAGGGTTGGAAACTATAAAAGCGATTGAAATTAAAAAAATTTAAAAATTCATTCATCTGAGTCATAACCTTCAAATACTTCTTCTTGTCGTTCTTCTTCTTGGTNATAATAATCATAGATCTCTCCCACATGATGTGGAGGCTGGTGTACCTCAAGGATCGATTCTTGGTCCGCTAATTTTTCTACTATATTAAATGATCTTCCCAAATACGTCAGCACTAAACACCTTATTCTATATGCTGATGAATACCACTTCAGCGACGGAAGCAGAAACGTCTGAAGAGCTCATTGCAAAAATGATTATACTGGCAAAGGAATTTACCATGTGGAGTGGGAGAAATTCTCAGACGGTAAATTCTACTAAAAACAGTTTTTATGCACTTTTTCACCAGAAATGAAATATCTGAGAATGATAGAATCTCAGTAAATGATAGTGAAGTCCCTTTCGCGAAATCCACCTAATTTCTAGGAGTATTTGTGGACAATAATATGGAATGGAATACCAATGTCAATCACATTTGCGAGAAATTGAATAGTAGTAACTTTGCTATATTGCAACTGAAAAATATTTTTGTGACGGACGGAGTCCCTCATTTCTGGTGCAGTGGGAGCATCCAGGGTCTTCGTCTCTCAAAAAAGGATTATACGATTAGTGTTCGGCCTAGACTATAGAGAAACATGTCGTAATCATTTCTAAGAACATGGAATTCTTACATTTCACTCTATTTACATCTACGAATGCATTTTATATGCAAAAAGTAATTATCATAACTTTTCTCCTAACTCTGATTACACAACACAACAAAGTTTTTGTTTCGGGGTTGCTATTAGATGATTTTAATGTATTTCCACCTGTTAAAACCGAAAGTGACCATAAAAA